AAAAAAAAAATGCTTCTATAATAAAGATGAGCTCTTCAGCTCATAAAATAAAGATGAACTCTTCAGCTCATAAAATTAAGATGAAGCTCTTCAGCTCATAAAATAAAGATGAGTTCTTCAGCTCATAAAATTAAGATGAGTTTCCCAGCTCATAAAACCAAGATTAGTCACTTAGCTCATAAAATGAAAACAAGCACTTCAGTTCATAAAAAGAGCCCTGTAGCACATGATGAATTCCTCAGTTCATTAGCAGAGCCCTGAAGCTCACTATGAACAATTCAGTTCATAAAAAGAGCTCTATAACTCAGGATGAACTCTACAATTCATAAAAAGAACGTTGTAGCTCACAACTTACCCTACCAAGTTCACTCAAAAGGGTCCTGAAACCCGTGAATAAAGCCATCATAACTAGATTCAAGGCTACAAGTTCAAGAGTCTATAGTAGAATCAGTAACCATCAAATAAGAACAAAGGTTCACATATCTAGCAGCAATATGAAGAAATAAAAAGAGATTACAAGAGATATTCTCAATCCTTATTCGCCCTTTAAGCGTCTCCGGAGCTCTGCAACTTCCTCCTTCAGGCAGGCATTTTCTTCTTTTAGCTCATCATTTTTCCTTCTGGGCTTCTGTCAGAAGATTTACAAGTCTTTGCCCAGATAAGGAGAACAATATGATAGCCAGAGAAGATCCAGATGAAGAAGAGAAGTCAATGGCATGGCCGCTTTTACGTTTTCCAGAGAAAGTACCAACGACCTCAACCTTATCAGATTCAAAGGGATAGGAATCAATAGAATCTGGATAAGAGACAAAGTCCATAACGGCACCGGCAACACTGAACATAAACAAGTTATATGGTGTCACCAACTTAGAGTAAGGCACAAGCTCAACTTCTATCATCTAGTCAATTCGCATTTCCTCTAACAGATCCAATTCGGGAGGACCTATCGATCAAATTAAATCCTACGATTAGAAGACTACATCAAAAGACCTGAATAAATACAAGTTACCGAGATACTTACCTGAATAAGAGTAGCTCCTCCAGGATCTGGGAACTCTGCACTCTCTGTAATGCAGTTCTATGG